GTCCCCCTTTCCCACAGCCCTCAGCAGGGCTCCCTGACAGCCCTAGGCTGATGATTCTGCTGGGCTAAGCCCTCTCAGCTGTCTCCATCTCTCCGGCCCAGAGCCCTCTCCCCTTCCCAGCCCTTCTGCCCCGCTCCTGGTATTGATTGCTAGGGAATCCTAGCCAAAGATCTTCTCACGCAAAGGCATGCAAACTTTGACCCAGGATGATTGGGTGTTCAGCTCCAGGCCAAGGTCCTCTACCTCCCTCTTCTCTGCCCAGTGCCCAGTGAGGGTCCCCTTCCTGTCACTGTGAGCTATTGGCCACAACAGGGCTTGGTGATGAGACATGCGACACCTCTTGTAACCCCAGTGCATCAGCCCACGGGTATGGAGATGTGGGGGGCCCTGGCCCAGGGGCTGTGTCTATCTACCTTTGGCCCCTCAGGCTTCACTCATAGTCTAGGATGGTAACTTATGGTGAGAAGAGCCCTGGCCTGGAAGCAAGAAGCTGGAGTTCCAGGCTCTGCTTTGATTTGCCATGTGTCCCTGGGCCTTTTCTTTTCTGGCACCCATCTCTCCACCTAAGTAGTAAGAGAGGGATTGACTTTATTAGTTAATGAATTTTTGAGGAGTCGAGAGCCTCTTAGAGAATACAAACAAAGCAACAGACTTTCTTTTTCTTTTTGAGACAGAGTCTCGTACTGTCACCTGGGCTGGAGTGCAGTGGCATGATCTTGGCTCAGTGCAACCTCCGCCTCCCCGGTTCCAGCAATTCTCCTGCCTCAGCATCCCGAGTAGCTGGGATTACAGGTGCCCGCCACCTGCGCCCGGCTAATTTTTTGTATTTTCAGTAGATACGGGGTTTCACCAGGTTGGCCAGGCTGGTCTTAAACTCCTGACCTCATGATTCGCCCGCCTCAGCCTTCCAAAGTGCTGGGATTACAGGCGTGAGCCACTGCGCCCGGCCTAAAGCAATGCACTTTCTATTGGGAGAAAGGTCGGTTGTTGGGAGCCCCAGCACTGGATGGTCTTCCAGTCCTGATGACCAGGCTGCCATGATTCTCCAGAGCTGCGGCGTTGGTGGGGAACCTGGAAGCTGAAGAAGAGGTTATGCTGCAGAGCAGGTTGGAGGATCGAAGAGTGCCTTGCTCTCTACTTCCTTGCCATGGCTTTCACACAGGGTCGTTCTCTCAGTGGCTCGCTCCAAATAGGATTGAAGGACACAATTCTCCTGGGTACCATGAAGCTTCTCAGGCTGAGTCAGAGATGCAGAGGGTAGAACAATTGGAAAGATGCTGAGAAAGCCCAGTAATACCTCCCTT